ATTTGGATTTAGCGAAGCAGCTACCTGTCAACGATATGGTTACCGTACAATCTGATCCTGTTATCATACGTTATCTCGACGAGACCGAGGCATAAAAATAGTGTTAACCTTAGTTACTCTCGATATTTTGTATTCAGTTACTGGACCAATGACCTGAATTATAAACTGGATAGAGCAACAACTCAATCCCACTGTGGCCACAATTTTAGTGTCATTACCATTTATTGAATTACGCCGTGAGATAACTTCTTCTGCACTCGGGAGTGATGAATCCTCTGTCTATCCACCATAGTCTTGATACACTTCTTGATGTAGCCAATCACTATCGTATTGACAGCTCTGAATAGAACTACATTAGGCTAGTGTCAAACTACACCCATCGATGCACAAGGCTCTCCGGTGATCTCAAGTCTAAGGATCACATGCACCACCATTCGTTAGAGGATTTGTTCCATAGACACTAGGGTTACCATCCATATAGAATCCTCTGGTGGGTCAATCCAGTGAACTTGCCTACAACAAGCACCCATGTGTTGCACTAGGTTGTCACCAAACAATCTTGACAAGTGAGATCAGTCACTGCATTTTGACAAGGTCATTCAACACTATGATAGTCTTACCGTATTATCTGTGCCCTTACTGCAGAACAATACTGGGGCTACAGATATTTCTAGAATGGCCATCATATGTGCTCATAGGGTTCTCACTATCAAGATTTGAAATATTTGATACCCTCATCACGGTTCTACCATTCTAAGGATCAATACATACAAGGATGATTTACGCGATATAGTATAAAATGTCTTTTATTGATCAATGAACATTATTACAAAGAGTCAATTCTACAATAATTGATTGGCTCTAGGGCACCTACTCTAACAGCTCTTCATCAAGCTTAAGAGAACCTGCATTCAACTTATCAATGATGGCCTTAGCCTCAGTTAGTTCAGTAGTAAGAACAATAATCTTTTCAGACAAGGCTTTCTTTTGTTTCAACAAATTAGCATTCTCAATACCAAGAGATTGCAATTTTTTCACAACCTTTAGCCATTGGTCATACATTTTATCATATGCCTCTTGTTGCTCAACATAGATATCAACAGTGTCATCCGAAATTTCACTCTTACCGTCTTCTTGGTTCACAATGAAGGCTAAAACATTCTTATCATCACCCAAATCATCATGCTCACTCTCATCATGCTCACTCTCACTCAAAGTGGCAGCCATGGCTTTACCTTTCTTCTTTTTCAATGTGTTAGCACACTCTGATTGTATGTGCCCGAAGCCCTCACATTCAAAACACTTGATACATTTATTTTTCTTTTCTTTTTCTTTTGAAAAATTCTTTGTAAAGGTAAAGGGTTTGATGGTCATAAGACTTTTTCACAAAAAAATTTCGGCCATAACCACTATTATGAGGCTTTTTCATGTTTTTCTTTAAAAACTTGGCAAAATTCTTTGTAAGTAAAGCACAATTTTCATCATCCGATAAACTTAAATCAGCCTCATGTTTGAGAGCCAAACCTTTGCTCAGTTTCTATTTTTCCCAGCATTGTAGATTCAGCTCATAGGTTTGGAGAGAGCCAATGAGTTCATCAATGTCCATAGCATCCACATCTCGGCATTCTTCAATAGTAGTGACCTTTGATATAAACCTCTAGGGCAAAGAGCAAAGCACTTTCCTAACAAGTTCAGCATTAGAATACGTTCTTCCCAAAGCAAAACACTCATTAGAAATATCACAAACTCTACTATAAAAGTCAGTTATACTCTCATCATCATCCATATTCAGATTTTCAAAATCAGTGACAAGTCTTCTAAGCCTATTTCTTTTAACGATATTAGTTCCCTCATTCTTGACTTGAAGCCTATCCCAAGCATCTTTTGCAAGCTTACAATTAGCTATGACTTTCATTTGTTTCACATTAACAACATTAAACAGAGCATGAAGGACTTTAGAGTTATAATTTGCCAAAGTTATCTCATCAGTAGTCCAACTAGCAATAGGTTTTGGTCTAGATACTTCATTTTCAACAATAACCGGGGCTATCCAACCATTCACAACTGTGGACCAGACTCTTTCATCTATAGACTTAAGAAAAGCATACATCCTAGGTCTCCAATAATAGTTAGGTCCTTCTAACAGAGGTGGCCTATGATCAGATCCTCTTTTAGTGAAGAAACTCATGATAAAAAATAATCAGACAGATGCTAACACAACAAACAGAAGTGCACACACATACACACAAAATATCTAAAATGAAAAACGCAACACCGATCCGGTTTTGTCCAACAATCAAACACTCATATGCACACCAAAACAATCAAAAGGGGTAAGGATCGACTGAAGCAACTTATCAAAACGTGCTCTAATACCACTTGTTGAGGAGAGAGTTGGAGATTTAACTCACGTTAGAGAGTGTGGTTACCTATTTTAAGTGCAGCGGAATATTTACCAAGTAGATTAAACATTTCCAATTTGAACACATCAAACACAAGTGCGAAAAATAAAGAACACAACTATATACATGGTTCGGCTAAATCCACTTTTAGCCTACATCCGTGGGACCTTGTCCAAATCGAAGTAGTCCACTAAGTTAAAAACACATTACAAGATATAGTTCAAAGTTCATCTAAGTTATAGTAAAAAGAACTCCCTGTTCAACTTTACACTTAGCACCATACTGTGAATCCTTAACATGTAGCAACTCATTGGACCTTCTTCACGTTGGGAACACACCCATGAATAGCTTGTGAACCACCAAGCTTCAAGCACCGATGCCACGCACAAGCATCAACAAATGAACCATGTTACAAGAGCCATCAATAATGTCACTACAAGAAAAAGTACTATTTGCAACCAATTTTTTTGCAACGAGGCAAAAATAGTTGCAAATACCCCATATTTAGTAACTAAATTCCAATCGGTCGGCTAAAGGGGAATAAAATTATGGGGCCCATTTATTGTCGCTGTTGGCATCTAAAATTAATATTCTACGACTAATTTGATTTGTTCCCAAAAATATCACATTAGCGACTAATTTATTTGGTTGTCAATTCTTACGCAGTAAATTTTCCCAGCATTACAACACAATTGACAACTACAACAAGAGATTCAGCAACTAAAATTATGGTTACATAAAACAATTATTTGTAACTACTAAATAGTTCCTAAATTAGATGCAAATATTTATTAATTAATTTGTAACTATTTTTATTAGTTACAAAATAATACAATTACCGAAATATCCAAGCTCCTGACAATAATTACAAAGGGCCTAAGGTACATTTGGCAATGAATTATTTTGTGCATATTACAATAGTTGCAAAAACTTATGTATAGCAACTAAAATGTATTTAGTCGCTAAAAGTTGATGAATTTTTTTGGGCCCCACTTTCCTGGTAAAATGAAAAAATAATATTTTAATTTGTGACTGAAATTACTATTGCGTAACTAATTAGTTAGTTGCAAATTATCTTCTTTTGGCAACTAAGATTTTAGTTACCAAATGAATGGTAAATTCTGTGAGTTTGGGCACCCCATGTTCTCACTTGAAATAAATTGAAATTTTGGGTATGTTATTTTAGCAATTAAAGTTATAGTTGTTAATAGGATTTTTTCGCAACCAAAATGTTAGCCACTAAATATTGTTTATTAAAAATGATATATAATTAGTGACCAAAATCAATTAGTTACAAAAAATTAAGATATCAGAAATTTGGCAATAGCAACTACAAATTAGTTGCAATTTTTTTTATTTTTTTTTTTGCAACTACTAAAATATTAGTTGCAATTGATGGTTTATAGAACATGAAAGTTGCAAATGGTGACTAAAATTGGTTGTTACAAATAACTAATCAAATAAATAAATGCCTATGCTTTTAGAAACAATTACTAAAAGCCCATCCTATATAAACCCAACTTAAAACCAAATTCCTAATCCCCCAATTTCCCTATTCTTACCCGAGTCCTCTTCTTCTCCACGCACTCCTCTATATCCAATTTCCCTCTTCACTTTATCATCTCCTCGATTCTACTTTTGCCACCTACATTACCCCATTGAAGGTAACTTCTTTTTATTTTTATGTCAAAACTCATTCTTTTACAGATAGTATTTCAGTTTTATTGTTTGATTTTCAATTTGTTTCTTCACAACATTTGCTTTAATTTGTTTAAGCATCTGTTGTTTGTGACGTTCCTAAATGGGTGGCTTTAACTTCGTAATGGGTGATTTTACTCTTATCTTCTGTTTCATCTAACATTGCAATGACTATTATAATTGTAATGAGTGCTTTAAATTCATTTGTTATTGCTAATAAACGAATGGTGTTTGATAATATCTATTTATTTTCTCAATTAGGTATTTAAGTTTTCTATTTTATGGATACTCGTTCGAGACAGTTTCATAGTCATCGATTTCTCCAACTACGGTTCGCATTTTTATTCACTTTCTTGTTCTTTAGATTTTCAATTTTATTTTCTATACATTTATTTCTGTGTATCTTCTGGGGTTTTTTTTTTTAAATTGTTTTGTGGGTTTGTTCTTTCGATCTTGTTTTTATTTGGGTTTTGATTTGAGTGTGATTTAACTCTTTTAGAGGTAAGCTTTAATGGGTTTTCTTTGTTTCATGACTCTTTTTTTAAATAATTGTTCTATTTGTAATATGTCACTATTAGAAAAAACCATTTTCTTGACAGAATGAGCTGATAGATTTTTTTACTGTCTTATAAAAATGTCAAGAATTTGAATAATTCTTGACTGTTTTAGATGATTTTTGACAATTATTAACTGTTAAAGATTTGGTAAAAAATAAATTATACGAATTTTTTCTTGACGATTGTATTCCCAATCGTTGACAGTTAAAACTACCGAGGATTAAGTTGAAAGAACAATAATAAAAAATTTCGCTAAGACAAAATTTCCCACCCATCAACAGTTTCACTAAGGCAAAAATTTCGCCCCAATTTTCATTAAGGCAAAATTTCCCAGCCACTTTTCAAAATTTTTCCCTTTCTTCTCTTTTCGTCTTCTCCAGTGTTTCTCTTTAGCAGCTCGACATATCTAACATTCTAGGGCTGCTTAAAATCACTCTCTAATTAACCGTAACAATGGTGTTCAAGAACAAACTCTTCTTCTCTTCCAAGAAATCCTCCGACTTCGATGGATTTGACTCTCCTCGATCCTTTGGATCCAACTCCCCAATCCGATCAATTCTCGGAAACTATTGGGAGAATTGCAAAAATAGCTCAGAGAGAAACATATGTTTGAAGATTTCGTCTCCAAGATCAATTCTCTTCTTCACGAACAATTTCGCTCTGCTTCTCCACCTCTTCGCAATCTGGATCGTTCGCCTCTTTCTCATTCTTTTCTTTTTAAATTTAGAGATCGTAATGAGAGAAAATTCGTCGATTTAATTAAATTTCTGTTGATTTTGGTGTTCAATTTGATGGTTTTGATTGAATGTTAAGAATTTGGAGTTAGGGAAATTATAGGGAAATTCATTGAGACAGCTCTTCGCTTTTCTTTGAAGCTGTTTTATGAGATCCCTAGTGCTTTAACACAATGGTGGCTGCCAAGAGGACTTTAACTCATCTCCTTCTCTATCTCTCTTCTTTCTTCTTTATTGTCTACTTTATTCCTTTTCAATCTTAATTAAAGAAGAGAAATAAGTTGATTATGGCTAACTCTTGTAGAAGAAGTCCCATGAGAGCATCAATAGCAGGCTTGCTCGTGTCATGAAGAGTGGCAAGTACACTTTAGGTTGTAAAATTGTGCTTCACATCCTAAGAAGCTCCAAAGGTAACCTAACCTATTAACTTTTTTTTTTCATTTTATTTCATGGATTGATGATTATATTATCTCTGTATTTTTCAGCTTCTTTTATGAACTAAAATGACTCTTAGCTGTGGACCCGGAAAAATAATTGTATTTTAGTTGTTAGGTTGTGACCCTTTTTTCATGAGAACTTAGAAATTACTGGGTTCTGACTGGATCTAGTCTTTGTTATGAGAATATTTCATTTCTTGTGGATTTGTTAAATGAAACATTTTTTTTCCTTTTCTTTTTTGGGTTGCAGCGAAGCTGGTTGTCATTACCAACAACTGACCTCCTTTTTGGAAGTCTGAGATAGAGTACTATGCGATGTTGGCTAAAGTTGGGGTTCACTACTACAATGGGAGTAAGTTTCTTAATCTTGTTATTGCCTTCTACTCATATGCAAAGTATATTTGTTCTTTGGCTTCTGTTATGCCTAAAAAGTCACGCCCATGTCAGCTCATTTAATGTCTTCTTGTACCAGTTGCCAAGCCTATATCTCCAAAGATATTCTCACCAGCTATATCTCCTTTCAAGAGATGAATGGACGAGAGCCTTCCATGTGTCAAGGCAGCTTGCAAAACACTCATTACATTGAGTGTTTGGGTGAATAAATAGACATTTCTCTTCACGAAGAAGGAGGCGGCAGGCTGGGCTGAGATGGGAGCTTCATTTCTTTCTTTGTAAAAACACTGTATTTCTTCATCTTTGTATGCCTTACAGGCAAAATCATAGAAATAGTCAGAGATTAATAAAATAACAGTGGATGTAGGAGTCGCTTGTTGCATCCGAACCACTATAAAAACCCCCTCTTGCCAATCTTTCATTTATATTTTCTGCAAAATATATAATCTCAGCTCCATATTCAAATCTCATGGATCCATCACGTGTGATTCCTAAGTCCGCTTAGCGCTTCTCACGTGCGAGTCGTTGGCGTCCAAAATCAAGCATCAACGGCTTCCTTTTTACTTTCCTGTTATTTATGGTTGTTTAAGTTTTAAATTCGACATATAAAGTCATGCATAATACTAGTAAACTTTGATTAGAAGGTTGTTCATTTTCTAATTATGTCCAATTCCTATTGGCAGCGTGAAAGAAGGATTGGATTTAATTAAAGAGGCTATTAGCAGAACAGGGTATGGTGAGAAGATAAAGATAGCTATCGATGTTGTTGCTACTGATTTTTGCAAAGGTGATGAGTTCTTTCCTGCAAATTTCCTACACTAGTGGTAGCTTGTAAAGAATAACCCTTTTTTTTTTCCTCTTAAATCAAAAGTTAAATGACATTATTAGTTTAGAATCCTATTTCGTATCACCGTACATGAACTATTGAAGTATATATTATGGTATGATGTTAAAATGAATACATAAATTTACATGTTCAACAAGTTTACATATCAGATATAAAACTAATTGTGTGCTCTGGACCATCGTCCACATTGTCTACTTGTTCCTACTATTTGTCCAACTTGGGTTTCTCTACCAAGGATGCACGTCTTTTCATGAATCTGGCTTGCTTTTTAATAGCCAATAATTTAATTTTTACTTCATGAATTATTTACAAGTGGTATTGGTGCTTATGAGATTTATGCACAAATTCTCATGTTGAGTGGTCATACTGTTGTTCCCAATGGAGACATTCGCTTGCTGATGTTTAAGTCTTTATGTGCAGGTTTTTGAAGAATTTGATCCTATTCCTATAGAAAGTGCTTCCCTTGCACAAGTTCATGTTGCTAGTACACATGATGGCAAAAAGTTGTTGTTAAGGTTTTATTCACTGTTATTTTTACCTCAAAGTTCATTTAGTATGCTAAGCAGAGTCCAAGTTTCCATGCAAATTATGCACAAATATAGGACTAGAATGTTTCTTAATTGCTTTCTATGTCAAAATTATTTCCTCAATATTCAGGTTCAGTATACTCACATGACCGATACTGCAGCTGCAGATCATGCCACTGTGGAGCTGATTGTGAATACCCTTCATAAGGTTTTTTTTCCTTCTTTTGGCTATAGGTGTGTTTCCATATGGTTCATGTGATTGTTAATTATCCCTCCATCTTCCAGTCATTGATAAAGCATTTATTTGCACAAAAAATAACTATACTATTTGGATGCTCCATTTTTTGTATATACCTGGATGGGTCACTCTGTATGCATCTATTAAAATGGTTTTCACATTTTCTGAAACTTCTAGTGTTAATTGATATTTTTATGACTTACATGTGCAGATGGTTGCTTGATGAAATGCGTGAAAGTTTGCCCAAGGTCAACTACTTGCTTATTGCAAATACTGTTGCTATGTAATTGAACTTCTGTAGACTTGTTAGAATTGAAATTCCTCTAGGTTTCTATTTTCAATTATTTGAAATGAACTTCTGTTGCTATGTAAATGAACTTCTGTAGACTTGTTAGAATGAATTGTGCTACTGACTTTGGGTATTGGAAGACCACAGGAAAGGATAGGCCTGTTCACTACAATAGTTAAGGTGTGAGGATGATAAAGACTCTAGCTTTCCACTGAGGTAAAGCTCCAAAAGGTGACCGAACTGATTGGTTTATGCATTTTTGTCTTTGGTTATGCACATATGATAGTGCAATTTTGGATTTTTATTGCTCATGTTGCTAAAAAATCCATGTATGGACTATTGATTTATATGCAATGAAGATAATTGATGTTATTGATCCACATTTTTGTATTGTGTCTCTCTTATTTTGTTGATGTTCAATGTGTTCACTAGGTGAATTACAAGGAACAGCAATATTGCTCTTAAATGTAATCCTATTTGCCGCTAAATTTTAGTCACAGAAATAATAAACAATCCTGGACTAATCAATTATTACTGACTACAAAAATTAGTTTCCAAATCTCATGTACTATGGGCAATTATATCATTTGGATGTAGAAAAAATTCATTTTCCTAACCAAATGATTAGTTGTGGAACCAAGGAAAGCAAATTGGCTAAACACTTCTAGCAACTAAAATTGAGTTGCTTTCGCCATTGATAATTTAGTCATTAAAACACACTTTTTGCAACTAATTTAATGGTTGTGAAAAGGAAATTATTATATTTCAGTCCAACATTCACGATTAAATTTTTTGGCAATTACAACTTTTAGTCATTAAAAGAGACATTTTGCAACTGAAAAAGTAGTTGCGAAATGCTTTTATCAAATTACCCTTAAGCATTCGGCGTCTATATTTTTTTTTGGAATTACTATCCATTTTTTAGTCACTAAAAGCTACATTCTGCAACTAAATCGATAGTTGTATGCAGTTTTACCAAATTACCTTTATTCATTTGGCATCTAATCTAGGGAACTATTTTTCGAGACAATTAGTAACTAAATTGATAGTCGCTAAAGAAAATGTTTTGGCGTCTAACCATGATTTTAGTCGCAGATACTTTCTGCCACAACAATTTTGCAACTAGCTAGAGACTAGGAATTTTAGATGCGATAAACAATCAACGTCTAAATTTGACTATTAGCATCAATTTTTGATAGACGCCAAATGCCATTTTTCTTGTAATGCGTGTTTGATATAGTGAGGTCTTAGCACAAATATGGAAATGAACCTTAAACCTTAAGAGAAGAAATACTTTAAGAAAATTTCAGAATACAATGAAACAAAATACCAAAAGGTTCTAATTCATATACGCAAAATAGAGGTGTTATATAATAAGGGATTTCTTATTCAACAATATAGTGCTAGGTAAGGCAACAAGGGACTAATGCATGTTTGTCCAAATAAGGAAAATTTTCCTTCTTTTGGTTTGGACTACAAAGCAAATTGGGAAAAGTACTTTATTCCCTATGACCATTTAAAGATGTTATGACATGTAAAAAGGTCCTAAAAAATGAGAGACAAAAATAAACAATATTTTTTTTCACTTTATTAGATATGCAACTCATATTAGATTGCAAATATCTGAATCGAGAGTGAAAACACAAACTATTGTGTATACATATTCTAAACGAAACAAGTCAAAACTCAAGTATGACAATTAGTGTGCACACATACAATTTATAAATTTGACAAATATGAGTTTTTACAAAACTTAATTAACTTTTATATCATCAAAATAAATCGTATGAGAACAATTAAATAAATATCAATTAATTCATAATAAGATAAGTTCTGAGTCGATATTTAACATTTCCAAAGTTCAGCGAATAAAATTACTTCATCAACCAAACACCACCCATTTAATTTGCTTACAAATAGAGGTGAAACAAATGGGCCAAGTTAGGCGAGTCAACCCTAACCTGGCCCGCATTAAAGAGGGTTCAACCCGGACCACGTAGCAGGTGGGCCGGGTTGAACCCAATCCGCATGCAACCCCTGGGCGGGCCGGGTTGATATATGGCAACCCGCGACCTGGCGGGTTGTTATTTTGTTTTTTTAGAAGGAAGCCCGCCAACCCGATGGGTTGGCCGTTGGTTTGCAACAGCCGACTCGATGAAAAAAAAAATTAAAAAAAAAAAAGAAAATTAATTTTTTTTCTAATACCCTTTTTACCCTTGAAATATAGCCGTTTTATAGCAGTTGGAGGGGTCTTTTTTGTCATTTTCTTTTCCCAATTTTTTCTATAAATTGGCCATCAACTCTCATATTTTTTCACATCCCAAATTCTCTCATTCTCTCATTCTCTCTAATCTCTAATCTCTATTGAAAATTGAAATCTCTCAATTATTTTCTTTGTTGTCAATTTGCTCTCATTTTAATTTTTATTGGTTTTTGCAATTTTCAATTCATATTTCCATATTCCAATTCTCCTTCTTTAATTTTTATTTCTTCTATATTAATTTTTTTTTTTTTTACTACAATGGATAAATATTTCTCTCCCATCAATTTCAATGATGAAGGAAACTATTATCATAGTCCCGCAGAAGTTACTAACATAAATGCAGCAGATTCAAATAGTCCCGCTTTTCCAGTCTCAGAATCCGATACACCTCAAAATATGCTCCTGATTCCTCCCCATGCTGCTACAGCTCCCGGTGGTTTTAGAAGTCATCCTCGTAATCATCGTCCTCGTCCAACTTCATCTCAAGTAGAAGCGGATTCATCGACTGCTGTCGAAATCGACAACAGACACACATCAGACGTTTGGGTGTATTTTGATAAGTTTTACGAGACAGAAAATGAAGTTCAAGTGCAGAAAGCAAGATGTATTGTTGAAATATTTATAAAGCTAATTCACGTAATGGTACTAGTACCTTAAAAAGACATGCTGATAAACATATTGCTCAACATGGAAATAGTGAAACCAATCAAACTCAAATAACTAATATGGGTACTACTTGGCGTTATAATTTTGATATATATAGGGAACAATTAGCTTTACATATTGATTCAATTGATCAACCTATTAATATGGTTGAAGATAAATATTTTGAAAGATTTATTAAAAATTCATTATTTTCAGGATTTAAAAGTTATTCTAAAACTGCAACTAGAAATAATTTAATAAAATTGTGTTAAGAAAATGAAATTAGAATTAAAAAATAAAATGCATAGTTGTTATGTTAATGATGCTCTAACTGCCGATATTTAAAATGGTAGAGCTAAACAAGATCATATTTGTGAGACTAGTCATTATTTTGATAACGAATGTAAATTAAATAAATCTTTATTAGGATTTAGATTAATGGATGTGGATCATAGTGGTCAACAAATTTATAATAAAATTGTTGAAGTTTTAGAAGATTATGATGTTATTGATAAAGTGATAAGTTTAACTTTAGATAATGCAAGTGTTAATAGTTCAACTATAGATTTTTTTAAAATTAATTATCCTTTTTATAATAATTTGAAGTTTTTTCACCAACGTTGTGCATGTCACATTATTAATTTAATTGTGAAAAGTGGTATGAAAACAATTAGAGATAATATTGATAGAATTAGGAATTCTTTAGCTTGGATTACTAGTAATAATAAAAGAAATGTTGAATTTCAAGATCCTTGTATAAAATCAAATATGTCTCCTAGAGCTTTTGCATTAGACATGCCTGTTAAATGGAATAGTACTTATTTAATGCTTGATTCATGTTTACCTTATGCTAATTTAATTAGTTATTTTGTAGCAAATAATAGAGGTCCTCATCATTTGGTAGAAAATGATTGACATATAGCTAAAATATTTCATTCTTTTCTTAAAATTTTTTACCAATCCACTTTACAACTTTCTAGTGTGTATTATCCTACTAGTCTATTGGTAATACATACAATTATAAAAATTTCAGAGTTATTTACAAAAAACAAAAACAATGAAATTTTAAGGGAACCAATAAAGGCAATGGAATTTTTTTTTTTTTAAATATTGGAAACCCATTCCTTTTCTTTATTGTTTAGGTGCTATATTTGATCATAGAATTAAAGTAGCAGGTTTAGAAAATGGTTTAGATACATTAACTGAAAATTTACAAAATGAAGCATATGCCAATCAATTAGGAGATGTAAGAAATTGTCTTGTAGAGGTATATTTCCAATATAAAAACAGGTATGAGAACCCGCAAAGATGCGAAATACCTAGGAAAGTTGCAGCAGAAGACACAAATGAAGACTTCTACTCCTGGAGTGCATTTAATAGGCCAAAGAGGACCCGATCCCGAAGTACAACCTCCTCTTCAGAAACACCAACAACGAATATATTGTCCTCTATGTAGTCACAGAGTAATGAGCTTCAACAATGTTTGGGAACCCCCGAAATATTACCAGCAGATCCATAACAAAGAGCCAACTTTGATGTCTTAAAATATTGGAAAACCAGAAAATGTATTTTTCCAGTATTATCAAGACTTGCCTTGGATGTTTTCGCTGTTCCTGTCTCAGCCATCTCATCCGAACAAACATTTAGTGCAAGTGGAAGAATTTAAAATGAAAAGAAGACTAAACTTTCACAAAAAATAATTAAAATCCTCACATGTCTTCAAAATTGGGAACGATCGCGCCATCAAGATCAACACGAGGTTGTCGACGGTACTTTAATAGAATTATTTCAATTTTGTAATATAGATGGTACGGATGAGGGAGGTCCTAGTCAACCCCCAAATTAGTTGTTTTGTAAATTATAACTTGCAAATTAATTGTCAATTATTGCACTCTTTTTTGTTTACCAAGTTTTTGTCCTATTGGGTTTTTCTTGGTGAAGTTTTTAACGGGCAATAATTATTGTAATTTCTTATTTTATTTTTTGATAAATGAATAAATCTAATTTTTCTTATATTACAATTTTATTGTATTAATATTTGAATTGTTAACAAAAAAAAAATTAATTTAATTAATTATTGATATTTAAAAAGTTAACTAAAAACAATTACACAAAACAAAATAAAATAAAACAAAAGAAAAAATTAAATTAAAAAAAAGGGGAGGGGGGCTAACCCGGCCCGACCCGTAGCATAACCCGCAGGGTTAGGGTTGCCAGGCCAGGCTGGGCCAACCAACCCTAACAATGGCGGGTCAAGTTAGGCCCGACCCACCAAAAACACTAACCCGTCACGGGTCAGGCCGGGCCGGTTACTTTTCCAACACTGGTTACAAAATCCAGAAGTAATACGTGAGACGCTAATATTTCATAATGCCAATTATGCAAATGATACATGATAATAGTCTTCATTGATGGAAAACTTATTTATGATGGGAGAACGACTTACACATACCCAAGATTCATCGTAATGACAAGTTGGTACCCAAAAGGTTTTGAAATGACAAATAGGTACTTTCCGTCATGTTCTGTTAGTGATTTCTGTTTATTAATAGTGAAAAGACTAAAATGCCCTTAAAAGTTTGAATTTTAGTTTTTTATAAATTTAAAAATTTCAAAAAACCCCCTAAGTTTACAAATTTCACTAAATACCCCAATATATAAAAATTTTATAAAATAACAAAAACACCCCCCACCCGCAAGTGCCAGATTCCGGCCACCACCGCCGGAATCTGGCCTGAAAATTTCTGTGGCTGATCTGCCGGAAAAGGCCAGATCTACGGCTAGATCAGCCGTCGACGCCGCAAAACTCCATATGCGGCGTCGAAGGCCAGATCTGCAGTAGATCTGGCCTTTTCCGGCCAGATCAGCCACGGATCTGGCCGGAAAAGGCCAGATCTGGCTGCGCTTCGACGGCCAGATCTTGCCTTTTCCGGCCAGATCCGTGGCGATCTGACCGGAAAAGGCCAGATCGGCACTTTACGACACAGATCCGACGGATCTGTGTCGTAATGCAGTTTTCCGGCCAATTCCGGCGATGGTGGCCGGAATCTGGCATGGGGGTGGTGGGGTGTTTTTGTCATTTAACAAACTTTTTATATATGGGGGTGTTTAATTAAATTAGCAAACCTAGGGGTTTTTTTAGAAATTTTAAATTTATAAAAAACAAAATTGAAACTTTGAAGGGCATTTTAGTCTTTTCACTATTAATAACAAAAATTATTAACAATATAACGAAGGTACCTATTTGTCGTTTTAAAACCTTTTAGGTATCAACTTGTTACGGTAAACTTTGGGTATGCACAAGTCGTTCGGCCATTTATGATTCTACAAGAAACTTCAACAAATTTTTTAACGTACTCATCGTGGAGTTCTTCATCTGCAAATAAAACCCTCAATTCCTTGGCTTTCTCTCTGTAAATTCCTCCTTCTTCTTCAACTATCACCAACCTCAACGCCTCCGCCACCGACTTCCTTGTGTATTCTCCATCTTCCTCATTTCTCGCTATCTCTATCCCTGCCTTCTTCTCTGCAAAAACCCTAGCAATCAACCCTTGGTCAATGGAGAAAGGTAGCAGAACCAGTGGATGTCCATAATAAAGCGACTCTGTAATTGAGCTAAATCCACAGTGAGTCAAGAACGCTCCCACCGATTCATGAGCTAATATCCTGAGTTGAGGGGCCCAACTCGTCCACACCACTCCTCTTCCCTTCACTCTTTCCTCAAACCCATCTGGAAGAACTATCGAGTCATCCCGATTTCTCAGCGCCCAAAAGAAAGGTAACCCGGAAAACTCGAGCCCCAGAGCCAACTCAGTCAACTCATTTCGACTCAAAGTCAACTCGCTTCCAAATGCCGCATAAATAACCGCCCCTGACTTCTGCTTCCCTAACCACTCACTGATTGTAAGCCACGTCTTGTCTTCCTTACCGTCTCTGCTATCAGGAGCCGCAGGCGGCAACAGCCCCACGGGCAGAACTGGTTTACCATGCAGTTCTCCCAGGAGGTTTATCCACTCTGATTCAATCTCCATGCAGCTCTTTACAGCTATCACGTCACAACCCGCCATTACGGACCCCAGGCGAACCATATCTTTGACTCCCGAATCGTTCATCTCATAATGATCAAAAAATTTCTTCGCTTCGTGGAGTCGGTACGCTACGCTGGTATCAAATGGTACCCATTTTGGAGGAACAGTGAAATCTTCCGGCTTAGTCCGTGGATCCTCGCCGTTGATCAAGGCCGATGATGATGATCCACAGAAACAGAGAGTCCAAGCCTGGACAATGCTGAAGAAGGCGCTGGAGATTCCCAGCTTGGCTGCTATTGGTGGTAACCAGGAAGCGATATAATCGTGAATAATCCAATCTGGGTTTGATTTTTGTAAAAATTCAGCCAAAGAATCTTGGAGTTTATCACAGGCAATTTTAAGATATTGGATTTTGTGAAGTGGCAAATCATTTGTGGCGTCTGCGTCTTTTGGAAGATTATCTTGATGGGGTAAACTGAAGCTCACAAAGTTCATCAAGGAAGATAAATTTGGAGGGATTTTAGGGAGTCGTTTGATGTTTCTTGGAGTTGAAATGAAAGACTTTGTGACCCTTTTGAGCAATGCGTTTGGCGAGTTCAAAGTATGGAATCATGTGGCCAAAGGCCAGCCATGGAAACATGGCTACGTGAAGCTGTTTAGCATCCGCCATTGCAAGCAAGTTACAGACGTTTTCAGGATCTTGAAATGATGCTTAATCTTCAAAGCGCTAATAACAATAATCACCATTTAAATTATAGAAATAGCAAAAACCTTTTTAGTTAACTTTTTTTTTTGGTTAAAATAAGTAATTAAGGGTCAGTTAAATAAATATTTATTAATTCATGTTATAAATTTTAGTGATTAATTAATACAATAGGGATTCATATTATTTTAAAAATAAAATAAAATAAATTAATTTTATTAAATCTGAAGGGTCAGGAAAAGGAAAACCTGTATATAAATATAGAGATAATTTGGTAAGGTATTGCGCAATGGATTCAAGAGTTTTTGTCTCCATGCAATAATGTAATGTGGCCATAATAATAAAAATTGTTAAAAAAAACCATTCGAGAATGGAGTGGAGCAGTTGGAGATTCGCAAATCTTATTACTGTTCTCGTAATAATAAGAATAATGTGCTTGGTAAACGTGATTCTTGTATCTTTTACCGGAAAATACTATACCTATCATTGTTTCTCGTAAACTTTCTCATATAATTTTAATATAGTAACTTACAATTAGTCAAATTCATAATAAGTTTCACCCATCAAATTATAACTAATTAATTTCAAACTGTCATGTTATAGTATAAGAAAAAAATTATAAAAAGAAGTTATAAATATATCATTACTCATCTTTTTTTATTTTCAAACAAACTATTGTTTCTGTCTCATCAATGTGGCCAACGGTTCATAAACAATATGCTCTCAATCCATATCTTAAACCAAAGATAATTATATATAGAAAGTAATTATATAAATTATTTTTTTATAAATTATCTACTCTAATTTATTTATATTAGTTTTTATTTAAATTTTTCTAATCACATTAAAACAAATCAATTTGTATAAGTTTGTATGAAGAATTTAAATTCATTCAATCAGATTAAAACACCTTATTATTTTTTTAGCAGCATTACACTTATAACTTTTTCATACAACCCTGATGTGATAGCTCGCGATTGGTCAACTCGTAGTGGCCTCATTTATCCAAATGCAAACTGACCAATCGCAAGTTATCATCTCTAGGGTTGTATAAAAAAGTTGTAAGTGTAGTTTTATTGTTATATTTTAATAGACTACACATATAAATAAATCTTATAAAGGTTTTTATACAAAGTGATGTGACAAAAAATTAGTGGAAGAGTGAATATGATGAATTTGATTTTTTGTATTTACTCTTTCATTCATTTTCGGTAACATCATTTTATATACAAATCTTTGTAAGATTTGTATATATGTCTAGCATTATTGTTTTTAATAATATCTTGTTCCTAATAAATCATTTTCTCTTTTGGAATGCCTAAAAAATATATATAATTTTAGCCCTCCAAAAACTTAATTTCTAGTTTCACCCCTTTCAGCCTATTAACATTTAAGGATAATAGTATCAAATATTGTTAATTTTGATCTGTTTTCATTTTATATACTAGATATTTTTCTCGTTTAACTTAAACAAAGTTAGTTAGGCTCTTAGTTGCCTTTTGAAATTTTTTTAAAATGACAAAAGTTCCCTTTAAAAGATAATGAAAAAATTCATCATACAAACTCTAAATTAAATGCAAATATTATGTACTTTAGTTTTGATTTGTAATATATAGCGAATGTGTTTATTTAATTTTAATTTGCTATGCGTAATGTGTTTATTAATTTGGTAACTATAATGTGTAATTTTTTTTATTACCTTATATATACATATAATTTTATTGAATTTTTGTTTTAATAAAAGCCTTTTTATACCTAATGGTTCAAGAATGTATTATAATTAATTTTAAGAAAAAGGGTATTTTTGTCATTTTAGTGAAAATTTAAAATTCAGCTAACATTTTGTTAAAATAAAGAACTAGTATGGTAGTATTTGAAACGTGAAGGGTCAAATTTTTAGTATTTGGAGTGAGTCTCTTTATATAGCCGAAATTATAGGGACTACAATTAATTTTCTTAGTTAAAATATAATTATAATAGTGAGTGACCCAAGTCGCTAGCCTTGGAAGTTGGAAACATGGCCGTATGAAGCTGTTTAGCATCCGTCATGGCTAATAACAGCTTCAAAATTAGGGAGAATGACTTACACATACCCAAGATTCATCGTAGACAAGTTGGTACCCAAAAGGTTTTGAAATGCATAGGTACTTTCCGTCAGTTCTGTTGTGATTTCTGTTTATTACTGTTTATTATAGTGAAAAGACTAAAATGCCCTTAAAGTTTGAATTTTGGTTTTTTAAATTTAAAAATTTCAAAAAACCCCCTAAGTTTACAAATTTCACTAAATCCCCAATATATAAAAATTTTATAAAATAACAAAAACACCCCCCCACCCCAGTGCCAGATTCCGGCCACCACCAGCCGGAATCTGGCCGAAAAGTTGCGTTACGACACAGACCCATCGGATCTGTCGTAACGCGTCGTCTGGCCTTTTCCGGCCAGATCCTGTCTGATCTGGCCGAAAAGGCCGATCTACGGCTAATCTGCCGTCGACCCGCCCAAAACTCCATATCGGGGCGTCGAAGGCCAGATCTGGCAGTAGATCTGGCCTTTCTGGCCGAATCAGCCACGGATCTGCCGAAAAAGGCCAGATCTGGCTGCTGCTTCGACGGCCAGATCTTGCCTTTTCCGGCCAGATCCATGGCGGATCTGACCGGAAAAGGCCAGATCGGCACTTTACGACAGATCCGACGATCTGTGTCGTAATGCATTTTTCCGGCCAAATTCCGCGATGGTGGCCGGAATCTGGCATTGGGGGTGATGGGGGTGTTTTTGTCATTTAACAAACTTTTTATCTATGGGGTGTTTAATTAAATTAGCAAACCTAGGGTTTTTAGAAATTTTTAATTTATAAAAACAAAAATTGAAACTTTGAAGGGCATTTTAGTCTTTTCACTATTATAAACAAAATCATTAACAGAATATAACGAAGGTACCTATTTGTCGTTTCAAAACCTTTTAGGACCAACTTGTCGTTACGGTAAACTTTGGGTATGCACAAGTCGTTCGGCCTCAAAATTATAAAAATCATTGGAGAATGGAGGGTTGAGGATCTTCAAAATTACTATATGTTGGATGATAAAAAAACATGCAGAATGGGCTAAACGCGTGTCCCAAAATGGCTATTACCTAGCAAAGGAAGCTTATAAGGATAGAAAAAAGCTGCTTTTCCTAAAGGCAAGTGCCCCTTGCATAAAAAGAGCTTCACCAATAAGAATTGTCGTTCATCCTCTTTCCACGTGTTCACTGCATGAGGATTTTCTCACTCTCAAATAAGAACGGGCATCACAAGCCCAGTCATATGTAAACTACTTCACACCCAATATTACCTCCGAATACTAAAATAGGTAGTCTTCACCCCACACAAAGGATATCAACATCTGTTTTCTACAAAGCAAACTCTATTTGTAAACGTATCAATAATAGTAGATGTAGGAATTGTTTATTGTTCTTGAACCACTTTAAAATCGTTCTTGTCTATTTTTCATTTATTTTTACGATTTACTATTCAGCACACCACTTAAGTTCCACACATAAACCTCACCGAACCCATTGGTTCAGCATCATACCTGCTATTTCACAATCTCTCATAGATACTCTGCACAAACTTTCCAATGGCTTGCGTACATCTCATTGTTGAAAAACTGCATTAACATTTTGGCACTAAAAAGAGGGCCTCCGCTAAAGCTCTCTTATTGACCAACAACTACATCCTAACCTATAATCAACCGTCCAATGCATAACACAGAGCTAACTCCAAAGCCCCTGCAAATCAAGAAGGAAAACAACAAAAATCATTTGCATCCCATCCTAAGGAGACACAGCCTATCAGCCCAAGAACGGGGCTAGAAATCCTCAAATGATGGACATGTTAGGACACTAACCACAACCATACAAACATTGGTACAATGCTTGGATGCCACCGCGAAAGTTCCAAAGGGGAAAGGACACAACCAACTGGGTGCCCCACAAGACAGGTTTGAGGGTTTAGCTACTGTGGTCCCCTCACACGACGTCCACGACTCACGGCACGTCCTAAGAGTGGTGCGCTAAAAATCATCAACGACCCGCATGTGATCACCATACGTTCATAGCAACCAACCCTATCGTGTTCCCTCGTTCAGGGGATAGGTTCCACCTCCGCGACAGACGGCCACGGGTGTGGGTACCAATCCATAACCTGAGAATGCCTATGAACAACTCATCGGAAACGACTGTAATAACTTTCTCTAGCTAGTTACTTTGGAAAATAAGATATGAAATTACTAAATATGATATAGAAAACATATAAGCAATAAGTATAAGATAATGGCCCCAAATTTTACTTTATAATCAAATTATCTACATCAAGTAAGAAGTTATATACAAAACTCAAAATACAACTAACAATAGTGTCATTCTCTTCCGTTTCTCGACTTTCCTCCAACCGCTTCTCATCTACTACCTACAAAACAGTGAATTAACGGAGTGAGCACTAATTGCTCAGTAAGTAAATCCGCTATACTATTCTTCTTCCTCCGTTACTTGTATTCTGAATTTCTTTCCTTACTCAAACTTCTCTATTCTTCTCAGTTCTTTCTAAAATTCTTACTTCTTTCACTTACTACATGTATTATAAGCAGAAACTATTTCTGAATAATAGACATGGCATAATGCATATGCACAAATGCATAAGAGATGCATCTTCTTTACTATTTTTCTATGTACTTATTCTGTTTTCTCTCTCTTTTTCTGTGTTCTTTCTTTCTTTCTTTTTGTTTTCTCTCTTTCTTTCTTTTCTTTCTTTTTTCTTTTTCTATTCTTTCTTTGCTTTGTTGTTCTTTTCTTTCTATTCTTTCTTTGCTTTGTTATTCTTTTCTTTCTTTCTTCTTTTCAATTCTTTCTTCTCTATCTTTTCTTGTTTGCCGATCGGACTCGTTGAGGCATGGATTCGAAACTCTGACCGTGTGGTGAGTACATTCCTCATC